GGGGGGGGGGCAGACAGACAGACGGACGGACGGACAGACAGACACACACACGAGGTGCTCTGCATCCACACCGTCCCATCCCTGAGCTGCTGCAGTTTTGTCCCGGTGCAACCATGTGGGCTGCGTTGCTGCTGCTGCTGCTGCCCCCGTGCCTGGCTGTGCTGCTGCTGGGGCTGCTGGCACAACGCCTGCTGGGCTCTGCTGGGAATCCTTTTGCAAAACCACCTTCCCGACCTCCCCGACCCTTGGTGATGGATCAGCACGCCCGGAACAGAGTGCTGAAAAGGGGTGAGTATGTGTGTGTGTGTCTGTCTATCTGTCTGTCCATCCCTGCAGTGCGGTTGCACCAGCTGCAGCCTTGCACGCGTGGTTGCGAGCTGCACGGCTGCACGGGCGTGCATTGCACACTGCCTGGGGCCGTGTTGCACGCTGCATGCACGTGCACCGCATGCTGCACCAATGCATGTTGCACGGATGCATGCTGAGCAGTTCGTGGGTGCATGTTGCACACAGTTGCACACAGTGTGGATGTGCAGTGCATGCGATGCCACTGCACTCTGCACAGGTGCACATTGCACGCTGCGTGGGTGCACACTGCATGCTGCATGGCTGCACGTTGCATGCTGTGTGGGCCCATACTGCACACTGCACGGATTTGCACTGCATGCTGGGCCAGTGCACGCTGCACAGCTCCACATTGCACGCTTCATGCGTGCACATTGCACACTGCACAGATGTGCACGGTGTGCTGCACCACTGCACACTGCATGGTTGCTTATTGCATGCCTTATGTGTGTATATTGCACACTGCACAGGTGCACACTGCACACTTCACGAGTGCACGTTGCACACCACGTGGGTGCATTTTGCACACTGCATGGCTGCATATTGCGTGCTGGGTGGATGTGCACTGTGTGCTGGACAAGTGCACACTGCACAGGTGCATCTTGCACACTTCATGAGTGCATGCTGCATGCGGTGTGGGTGTGCACTGCGTGCTGCATCACTGCATGCTGCACGGCTGCATACTGCACACGGTGTGGGTGCAAATACCATGCTGCACTGGTGCGTGTTGTGCGCTCCATGGGTGCACACTGCTTGCTGTGTGGGTGCATGCAAGCAGCACAACACTCCTCTCTCCATGCACAGGGTTCAGTGCTGCACGTGTGCCGCAGGATTTGGATGCTGTTGTCATTGGCAGTGGCATTGGGGGGCTGGCAGCTGCATGCATCCTGGCCAAGGTGGGCAAACGTGTGCTGGTGCTGGAGCAGCACGACCAGGCTGGGGGCTGCTGCCACACCTTCCAGGAGCAGGGCAGTGAGTTTGATGTGGGTAAGGAGCAGCGTGCGTTGGTGGTGCGTGCAAGGTGTGATCGTGCACACAATCTGCAGCGCATTGGTTGTGCAAAGTGTGCACGCAGCACGTGTGGTGTCGGGGCGGGCAGGGTGTGCGTGGTGCATGCAGTGTTTGCATGTGGTGTGCATGCATGCAGCGTGCATGAATGTGTGATGTATGCAGCGTGCACACCATCTGCATGCAGCACGTGTGTGTGCATGCAGCGTGCATGCCATGTGCATACAGTATGTGTGCGTGCATGCAGCGTGCATGCAGTATATGTGCACGCAGTGCATGCATGAGGCGTGTGCATGCACTGTGCATGCAGCACGCGTGTGTGAGCGTGCGATGTGCATGCCACGTGCACGCATTATGCGTGTGCATGCAGCGTGCATGCCGTGTGCACGCCATACGTGTGTGCACGTGCACTGTGCATACCGTATGCATGCAGAATGCGTGCACACAGCGCATGCCTGCCCTGCTGGTGCCTGCAGGCATCCACTACGTGGGGCAGATGCACGAGGGCAGCATGCTGCGCGTGGTGCTGGACCAGCTGACAGATGGGCAGCTGTGCTGGCAGCGCCTGCCTGACCCCTATGATGAGGTGGCCCTGGGTCCACGCTGCTATCAGCTCCGTGCTGGCAAAGCTGCCTTCGTTGCTGCATTGGAGGAGCAGTTTCCTGAGGAGAAGGAGGCGATCCGGGAGTTCATGAGGCTGTCCAAGGTGGGGCTGTGCTGGGGAAGTGGGGTGGGGGGCAGTGGGGTGGGGGGC